TTTTTTTTTGTTGGTTGTAAATTCCTCCTGATAAAAGGGGACGGACAACTGGACAGACACACAGACAAACAGATCAGTTGGCTTATAAACACAAAACTATAGATGTGAAAAAAGAAGTGAAATATTTTCTATGTTACACTGCACGCATGGTCAAAAAGTGACTACAGCTGTTTTTTTTTTATCTCTTTTACACAGAGCAGTTTTAAGCGTCAAAAAAAAAAAACAACAACAAAAAAACAAACAGAAATATAAGAAAAAAAAAACAATTATAAAATGAAAACAAATCTCCGATAATTTTTGTTCAGGAGTCTTTTTTTTCTTTTTAAAGTCATCTCTTTTTCATTTTTGTCTTATGGATTTATAATCATTTCATATATTTTTTTCTTTACTCTTAATCTAAATCAGAAGGTAAAGCAGCATTATAACCCCTACTGTCACACACACATACCCGGTCAGCTCACGAGAACAAAGGACATCGAATATATTTTGCTTTTTCAGTTCTTTGCGGGATCTCCGTCCGATCCAGAGTTGGAGGTTTTATCCTTTTTGGAGGGAGCTGAAGGGGGAGGAGGACGTTTTGGGGTTTTTTTAGCTGGCATGGGAGTCGGAGGAGGGGAGGTTCATGTGCGGCTGCTGCGCGGAGCTTTACTTCCTCCGATTCGTTGTCTCTACAACCGGCCACATCACCCCCCCCGCCTCTCGCCCATGTCAAAGATGGCGGCGAGGGTCATCGAGCGCCCTCAGCTTCTTTATTTCTACTTCCTGTCCCGTGCTTTCCTCTCGCATCCTCACATTCTCGCACTCAAGTTCCTGCTGCTGCTGCTGCTTCACATTCAATCGGTGGCGCCGCTCTTATTTATTTAGAAAAAAAAGAAAAAAAGGGCGGTTATGGCCAGCCTTGTCTCACAAGGGAGAGGCCTCGATCCTGTTTGGTGTCAGTGATTCTGGGCCAAACTCGGGGCGTTGGGAGGTTTGCTCGGGGAAGAGGAGAAGGAGGGGAAGAAATCTGAAATGGGACAAAAGGGGGTAAGTGCTACGCAGCCCTCCGCTAACCCTCTCTCGTCTCTCTCCACCCCGTTAGCGGGCCGGTCGGTGTAATACTGACAACAGGACAGGTTTGGGACTGAGCCCACTGCAACATGCCAGCCTCTGTCACACAGAGCAGCTTCTGGGGCGGGGACAAATCTAAAACTTGGATGAAAAGGGGGGAAGGACCGCTGCAGTAGTGCAAAAGAGCTCCCGCCAGCCTGGCTGAGCGGGCGTCTCTTATGGTGGTGGTGGTTCAGTCTGAGCTCGGCTCCAGAAAAAGGGGCAAAGTGATCGGGGCTGGACTGGGGCAGATCTCTGGAAGCGGTGATGTGCTTGAGGAAGGGGTTTCTTCTTCCGTCGTGCCCGAAGATGGTCTCTCCTCGGCCATCCCAAGATCTCTGCTGTTCCTCTGCTCAGGTGAGGGCTGCAGGTTCCTGTACAAGTGCCCTGTCTTACCTACTGCTTGGCAAAATAAAAATAGTCTCTGATTCCTTTCTTGGTGTTGGTGAACCCGGTTAGCTTTGGCTTGGCCCCAGAATTGGAATGAACAGAGTGGGCTTCTGTGAAATCAAACATTCACGTTCAACGGTCACTTGGTTTACGAGACCTTCCACGGATGTCGAGCGGCGGGAAAGTGCGCGAGACCAAAAGAACCGAAGTGAGTCGCTTCAGTCGAGGACGTTCCATCTGTTCTCCGTCCGATGCGCCGCCTGTGAAGGAGCTTTATTTCCAATGAAAACCCATCCGCTCGGCTCCGGCGGCAGCCATCACGAGTGCGTCGGAGAACTGCCCTTTCCATGCATGCGAATTCAGCGGGCGACGCCACCGTTGGGTTTGAACTCTGCGGGTTGCTGTCTGGGTGTCAGCTGGGCTGCACATCCACACTGTCCTTCGTCTGTTTTGACAGAAACAGGTAAATCCAATTTTTTTTTTTGTGATTTTTTTTTTTAAAAAGATGACACTTGGTCCCATATAACAAAAAAAAAAAGAGACAACCCGGATGTGATGGGTACCACGGCTCCCTGGGGAGGTGGTCGGCCCTCCTGTCTTCAGTGGTATTTCATTTGAACCAAGTGAGAGCACTGAGGGTGTGTGTGTAATCTGAGAGTGTTTTTTAATCTTTATCCTCGACTACAAGTGTAAAAACTGTGTTAATCGTGCGCCAACTCGGATGGTGTATGTCTGTGTGTAGGCTGTGGGCAGCTGCCCTGTGTCCACAGAGGTGAGGTAGTGCCTGACACCACAGGGGCAGTATTGCTGCCCCAGCCTGGGGGTGTGTCCGCTTTGAGGTAAATGGTAGCCTTCTTGGCATTAGCCTGCTCTCAGTGACGCCCATGGTCAAAAAAAAGGCAGATGTGTATGGAAGCCTGGAGGGGCCACACTGAGCTGAGTCCGTGAGGAGGAGGGACTCGGTACAAACCCTGCAGGTTAGGGCTGTATTTCAGCACCGCGTACTGCGCAGCGCATACAGTAAAATGAGGCATTCGCGTTACTCTGAGGTGATGTTGTGTGTTTTCATGTTAATATGTGTCAGAAATAGAGACAGAGAGAGAGTGTGTTTGTAAGATGAGCTTTGCCGTCTCGCTGCTGTTCCAAACCTCCTCCGAGGCTGAAGGACCGACTTCCGTCCGGCTCCCACTTCCTCTCGCTATCTGCTGCTTTCTCCTACTTGTCATCTACAAAACCTGCCGGCACGAGCGGCGCAGGCAACGACGAGGCAAGTCTGCTCATGTGTGTGTTTGTGTATGTATGCGTATGTGTGCGCTGTTTGTCACAGGAGCCGGTCCAATGACAAAAATGAAGGTAGATATGGAGCCATGGTCTGCACGGTTTTCAAAGGTAGACAACACAATTTCATTAAAACTGGAGTAGCCTTGTATAAATATAGCACCGGTTTCACTGGGACCTTTAGAGGAGAATCCCAAAACAGCTGTGAACGGCTCAGATTGACTTGAGTAATTGATAACTAGCTCTGCTTCACTTCCAGCCAGTACACTCCAGAGTAATGCGTAAAACATCTGCGGAAACAAAAAATTTCAGTGTGCAGCGTTTCATTGATTGCGAGTGTGAGCGATAAACTACTGTCCGTGTTTTCTGAATTTCTGCCTTAACACTTATTCAGAAATAATACTGAGAGGTGCTTCCGGCTGCGACGCCGGAGACGTGGGCTTCAAAATAAATCTGCGGCCGCTACGAAGAACCAAGAAGGGTCGGGGGGGAAGTGAACCCCTGCAAAGAGCGCTGCTCTGAAGAACTGAGGTGGAACAGGCTGCGGGTCGTGTGTTTGTGTGCACGTGTTTGTGTTTGTGTCTTGGCAAATGGCTACAACTCTTAGTAGATAAGACATCATGCTCAGACAGAAGGGCCCCCACACGAATTTGAAAACAGGGGTAAGTATAGGGAGGAGAAAGAGGTGGAGGGGAAGGTGAACGAAATCCTGTTTGCTCCTGTTGCTGGTGTGTTGTTGTTGTTGTTGTTGTTGTTTCTGTTATTTCCAGTTTAAAACCACATACTGCGAATGTGATGTCGGAGAAATGCAGATTCTCTCCCTCCATCCTGCGACGCGACAAAGAAAACGTCGGTGGACAAACCCATCTCCCCTTTGTTTTTTTTGTTAGCTTGCCCCCTCCCCTCCCCCCACAACAATCTTCCTCTTCCCTTCGTGGCGTCTCACACCTCCTGGTCCTCGAAGACCTCCAGGAAGAGCGGAGGGAAGAGTTCGTTGGGACACTCGACCTTCATGTGGAGGAAGCGGCTGGCGTGGCACGCCCCGATCATCCGCAGGTCCGTCACCTTCATCAGGAGCTTGGGCCAGAAGTGGGGAATGTTGTGCTTGCGGTGGTTGATGTAGTGCTCGAACGCCAGCAGGTAGGTCTCCTGGCACTTCTCGATCTTGTCCACGCAGGTGAGGCCCGATCGGTCTGTGGGGGCGAGGAGGAGATGGAGGGAAGCATGAGATACAGACATGAGAAGACGAGAGAGAATGAGCGGTGGAGGGAAGGGAGGGGAAACATTCAAACGTAAGCAAGCAGTCCTGAGGTGGTGCTTCTGTAATCAGTTTGAATTTGAAGGATCTCACCAGAAACAGTTCATTGAAACTCGGAAAAAGAGTTTTTACCATAGACTGTATAAAAGATGGACGTAGCAACCGGCCCTGAAAAATGAAGCCAACCTGGAAGTGTCAAAAACCTGCAGTATCACTACGTCCACTAGCTGCTGGCTCCACAAAGCCCTGGCTCCCAGAGACTGGAATTGGAAAAGAAGTGATCACAGATCACAGCATTCCTACAGCTCAGGATTTTTTTCTTATTAGTTTTCATGGTCAAATCCAGAGACCAGGTGGCCAATCTGAAAATAAATCAATACTGAATTTTTAAAAAATCGTCAACATTTTGCGGGGCAAGGGGCGTGGCTGGCTTGATTGACAGTCGGCAGCGACCATACAGATGAAGCGAGCAGAAGGCGGTAAATGTGGGCGGGGCTGACCAATTGCTGCTCCTATGGCTCCGCCCCCCTCCCACGATTTTTGCGTCACTGGCTCCAAAAATCCAAGATGTCAACCAGGAAGTAGCAAAAGCCTGGCTTCATTTTCTCAGTGCAGAAACCAACGGGCGACGACACGGTAGCTACGTCCATCTTTTATACAGTCTATGGTTTTTACACTCATACGAGGTGGTTTTTGATTTTTTTATATATTGAATTTTTAATTTAAAAAAAAAAAAAAATCTTATTTTATGTTTTGGATCTACTTCATTATTTAGTTGCAACATCTATTTTTAATGTAAAGCACATTGTAGTTCTGTATTTGAAAGGTGCTCTAAACATTTTTTCAATCAGTTTTACTAAATTCAAGGAGCACATCTTATGCTCATTTACAGCCTTATAACCTTATTTTTATTCTAGAATATGTTGACTTGCTGTAATATGAAACAAAATGCATCATTTTATTATCACGACTATGACTACTAACATATCAATAATTGTCTTTCTGATTTGTACTCTTCTGCAGCCCCTCTTTATTTTTGCAGCAATTTAGAGAAAACACGCTTCATCCTTGTCATTGTGTGCCTGACTTGTGCAAACAAATCTTGTAATTGCTGGAAGGCAATTGTGCAGACAAACAGTTATAAACTAATTTTGATCAATAAAATACGATTTAACTGCATGACTACTATTAGATTGAAGGTATTGTTATTGTTAGGCTAAAGGATGCTTCTTGTCTATTCAGCTACAAATAAATAATTTATTCTAATAAGATGTACTTAAAGAGCCCATACTGTGCACACTTACAGGTTCTTAATTTTGATTTTGGGGTCTACTAGAACATGTTCGCATGCTTTTAAGTTTAAAAAAACAAATTATTATTATCACGCTGAAGCATTTCTTATCACCGTCTCTCTAAAATGCTCATTTTTGTCTCTTTAAGGCCCGTCTCCTGAAAAGCCCAGTCGGTTCTGTTCGGTGAGCTGGACCAACAAAAGCCAGGTTACGTTGTTTAGAAGCAGCTCCAGTGAGTCGCTAAACGAGCAGCTCGTCATGCGTTATGCAAATGTGTGACATGATGATGTCATCAAGTAACAAAAGAATAGCCTGGACTTCAACCGAGGCGTTTCAGGCAAGTGAAGAGCGTTTTCTATGGCTGGATATAACTTTCTTTGTAACATGCACAAAAAAAACCTCCCAGCTAAAATAACACAATGAAAGAAAAAAGGAACAAAAAAAAGCATAATATGGGCTCTTTAATGGTTTGTAATTTGTGGACACCCTGACTGTGATTACATCCTGAATTTCTTTCCATTATTTGAGCGTATTACGTGACGTGTCCTCGATCCAAGAAAGTGTCGGCTTAATGTCACACAATGAAGAAACCAAGAGTGACGGCTTTTTAATCATATATTTGGATGAGCTTCTGATTTCCTGCTTTCAGGGCTGAGTCTGTATGTGGGCTTTTTATCTTCAGACCATAATTACATTTTGATTCACAATAGGCTACCATATATACACTATGAACTGTGGTGGGTAATGACTTGAAATGTGTCACAGAATTGTGTCTCCAAGGGCACCGAAGACGAAAAAATTTGCATTTATATTACATCAAACTAAAATGATACAGTACCAATGTTACGAGCAGCGAGAGTTAAGATCTGTCGCGAGGGTGCTGGAAGTTTTAGAAAAAAACCCAAAACAAAACGCAGAACAAATAATGCTTTTAAAGTCGACCTGAGCTCATGAGCAGCACGGCCTGCAGCAGCGCCACTTCCGTGTCGTCCAGGTTGAACTGTGCCAGGCTCTTGCCCAAATCGAAGATGGCGTCCGACACCACGCCCAGCCCGCCGTTCTTCAGCTGCTCGCGCTTCACCGCCATCTCGCCGCTCAGCGTCAGCGTCTCGCTGTCCGGGTCGTAGCGCATGGCGGCTCGCAGCGACATGATCTCCATGCAGCAGCCCTTCAACAGGATGATCTGGTCTTCACAAGGCAGCTGTGGAGCGAAGAAAAGTTATTTATGCGATTAATGCAAACGTGTTCCACCTATAAACAG